CTCTTCTTTTTATATATATATATATATATATATATATATATATATATATATATATATATATATATATATATATATATATATATATATATATGTGTGTGTGTGTGTGTGTGTGTGTGTGTGTGTCATTCCTTGGTCGTGGGAGCTTAGAGGTTTTCTAATCCAGTGTTTTGAAATGAGCCCTCCAGCTGTTGTGGGCTTGAGAGACTGCAGCCTTGGAGGAGGCTTAGAGATGACGAGATGCTCCTTCTATCTTTACTTCTCTTGAATCTTTATTTTTCTTCTTGGCTTTCTGTCTTGATTTCTAACGTTTTGTATTGTAATTTCTCAAACTTATTAGGAAAGTATTTTAAGCTTTTAATTTTTAATATAAACTTCTTCCTTGTTGCTGTTACTCTCAGAGTGAGAGCACAGAATGATTCAGAGTGTGAAGTGAACACTGCGCACAGACGATAAGAAGATCAGATGAGTTTAGTGGCCAAAGTCATTTATTGCATTTATAATGACGCCCTCACGTTGTGCATGTCACGACAGGTAATGGGGCCTCATTAGCGATGAAGTGATGCAGACAACCTGAGGAGTTCATGTCTCACTTCATACGTTGTGCGAATGAACTAAAGAGGAGAATCAGGCTGCTGAATGATATATATATATTGGCATTACAGGGGAATATAATGCCTCTAAGTGAAATTGGCTGCATAATTCATAGGAAGTCTTCTTCATGAGCATGTCTCCCATGAACCAAAACAGAGCCCAGCAGCCTATCTCCCCTTGGCCCATCAGTGAAGCTGCAGGGCTTGTGATGTCTGCCAACAGAAGGAAAGCGTAGGAAGTCCTGGAGGTTTCAGGCAGACAGGCAAGCAGGGATCAACAGGCAGTACATCAGCGAGAACAGGCCAACAGCATTCAAAATCTGTTAAAAAATGTTCTTAAGCTTCAAATTCCCCATAAACGGGCTAAATAATTCTGCAAATATCAATGCATGAATGTTGAACACAATCCAGTGGTTTTGTGATTGACTTGTGGTGGGATCATCATCTTACAGTATCACTAACAGGGACCATTCACAGGACATGATCAATTATTGGTAATCATATCAGTGCATCATCCCCCTCGCCATGTTTAGATAAGATTACTTCCCATCTGGATTTTTGGACATGGATGCATGCTTGCGGGGTTGATGTAACTTAATTTTGTTTATAATGTCTTTAGCCAGTCTAAGAATAGACGCAGCATGCACAGATTTGTCTTCATGGCTCCTTTTAAGACTCTCAGCCGAGTACAGATGTGGAGCTTCTTCTGAGCATCTTGGTTAGAAAGGACAAACCTCTTTTGATCCACAAAACAAAAAGTGGTGATTTTGATTCAAGAAGGAAACAGTCTTAAATAGATGATAAATACGAGGAACTCAGGAGACAACCTATCGTCTTTCCTCATGTAGCTGTTCCATATTTCATGTGATCCTCCACAGTTCAGCGTAGACGTCTTTGTTCTGCTGAGAGAATTACAAAAGAGACACTTTGTTCTCCAACACATCATGTTTGTTTTTCTGTATACGTCAGGCATCAATAAGAAAACATGTGCAGCAAGGGTAAACATTGATTTTTGTTTTTCTTTTAAAATATGAAACGCATGCATGCTCTTAGCTTGTCCGGGTTGTTCTGTGTCATGCAGTAGCTGACTGGAACATGCTCCAGCCAGCCATCACCTAAAAGAAAAGGTAAAATCCCAAATCAGGTCTAGAATGAATAACAAACATGAAGTTTCTTCTGCATATTTTAAATGTATGATCACATAGAACAGAAGTATATTTTGTATGACAGTTCTGTTTTCATTTAGCTACCTCCACTATTACTTGTGTCCATGACAAATATGCATTAAATGCGTAAGAAAAAACATCTGAATAGTTTAAATTAGTTACATTTATTCACTGCAATAAAAGCTCACATTAAGAAATATATATTTTTTTTAATAATACAATAATCCGCTTGCCATCATTGTTAGTAGCACTAAAAATTCCTATAAAGTAAATGCAACTGAAGAATGGTTTTCATTTCATACTTTCTCTACTTTTTAATGTGGTCACAGTGTCTGAGCAATTATTTATTATTCAATTACTTTCTGTTACTCATAAGAGATTACCAGGATGTGATATTAAGGTCTATTTCTATTGGCCACTGTTTAAAACGGGAAAGACAAGAGAGCATTATCACAAAAAAAAGATAGATATCGGTTTCTCTTAATTAGTGAAGAAATGGCTGTAATAAAATACTACAAATAGTCTTGCAAATAAGATATGAGGCAGTAGAAAAGATGCATAGTTATGCATTTGCTATTGTGTGAATGGAAAAATTATGTTTTTATGTTGTCCACAGTATTTTATGGAAGGAACTATACTTGGTGGGACTATGTGCTGGGAAAAGGCATTGTTCTTTTGTGTGATTATGCACATGGGATAATGATTTAAAACATTTTATAGAGAAACAGTTTTTCACTATTTGGACTGAACTGCTTCTTGTTCAAACAACAGTGGTGATTAAAGCTGTAATTGTACACACATCTTCTACAAGTTTATTTTGGGTGTGATTAAGTGCTTTTACACATCAACCGACCTACTCCCATAAAAAGTTTAATGTTTCAAAGTGACTTATACTTCAAAGGAGCATCGACTGATTTAAACCAATTATGTGCTGTGCCCATACTCATGAAGGTTGCCATAAATTTAACCCACATTCTTTTAACTTCTTGCCCCGTTGCTTCTACATTCATTTACTCTGAACCGAGACACTCACATCCTCCTATTTATTCCTGCAGTGTGTGTCCGGGCCCTGGAAGTGACTGTGTCCCAGAGCAGCATCCAGGTGGCTCGGGGCCAGACGGCCATCCTGCCCTGCTCCTTTACCACCAGCGCTGCCCTCACCAACCTCAACATAATCTGGATGGTGATCCCGCTGTCCAACGCTAACCTGCCAGAACAGGTACCAATGACACATCCATTCATTGAAAATAAAAGAAACCTACACCCCCAGCCTTTCAGTGGGTTTGTATCAAAAGGTCAGACTTATAGAAGTGTTGGAACATAAAGTGTTAATGTTTGAACATAGCGGTCAGAGTCCTGCTATGAATGCAGTTTTGTCACGATGGGTGTAATAGTATTCTACTCATCTGTGCAGCAGTGCACTGTAAAGAGAAATGCAGACATTTAAGTTCTTCCTTAACCCAATATTATCACACATGTATCATGCGGATGATCATTGTTCTTTCTCCCTCAACGTTGCAGTCGAAGCAGGTATACAAGACTTGATTTGCTTATATGTTTGCTCAGATACAGCGCAAAGAGAACATTTGGATTATCACACATGATACAGAGACTTCTTATGCCCTGCCCACATGCTATAATTGTACATAATTCAAGTCATAAAATTTGGATCCGTACTTCCAACATTACTTAGGGTTATGGTGACGATCAGGGCAAAGCCTTGGCTGTATTCAAAGCTTTCCAGCTATTTGGTCCAAATGCCAAAACAACAACACTGTTTTTATGTGTATGTGTGTACATTTGTGGCACACTGTAGAAAGGGAAAACATTTATTGTCTCCACTGAACTACTGTCAAAATGCATGATGCAACCATCTCAACAGAAAATGGGAGCAGAACAACAAAGAACACAGCAAATGGTCCAACTTGTGCAAAAGCACCCAGAAAAAAATACAAATAAACCTTAAACTTTTTCAAAATGTTCATCTTGCAACCAAAAACCTCAAAACGGTTTTATGTAATATACCAACTTAAGCGAGAATTGCAAAATGATGAAGTGCAAGAAAAATAATACATGGTTTTCAAAACTTTTAATCAAACACAATCTAAAAAATTGTTGCATGAATTTGCATCGAGTGCCCCTGAATTTTTCTCTTGTTCACTGGATAGTGTCTTTGATTATCAGTTTTTAACTCACGTCATGGATTCTAATGCTTTGATACATTAATCATTCTTTTCTAAGTATGAACTTAGTTTTGACTATTGACATTACCCTTTAAATTGTACTTGTGGCTTAATGACTAGGATTCATTTCTGCAGGTCAACTTCTGCCCCATTCTCAAGTCTTTTCAGACTCTAAAAGGCTCTAAAAGGCTTTCTTCAAAATATGATACTGCCACCACCAGGCGTCTTAGACGGGATGGTGGGCTTAGTGTTAGTTCCCTGATATAAGTACCATTTTGCCTACAGGGCAAAAAGTTAAATTTGACCAGGACACTTTGTTCCACTTACTGTTATGTCTTTGGCTTTGTCATGACCACCTGCATTTGCTGCTAATTGCTGTTTGTTACTAGAGTAACTGCAGTTCCAATAGGCAACAGGATTTTTGAATACAGCCAGTATGTCACTAACCCACAATGTAAATTGTGCTTAAAAATGGGGCTATAGGACATTGATAAAACAAACACACGACACTTCTCTTTTCGGTGCATCTGAGAGCTTTGCAGTAGTCATTGTCAAGCTTTGTTGTAAGAAAAGTTTCCAGGTTTTCTAAATGGAACATAAGTCAGGGGACATTATGCTAAATTATTTATCAAAGGTTTGATGACAATTTAGAAAACATATTAACTTTTCCAAAAATTGTGTTTGTTGATTATTTTTAATCCCAGAGACCATTGATAGAAATAGTTACCCTGAGGTTGGCACAGGTCCTTGTGAACCATATGTCTGTGTAACTTTGAATTAAACATATATATTTTTTTATTTTTTTGCTTTTTTTCATATTTTGCACCTGACCAGGAGTAGTTGCATGTATTATTTCTAATTCGGTATCTCATCCTCCCCTCTCCCCCCTATAGCTCTTCTCAGTATTTTGCTTTTCTCACCTTTGCTTACTTGTTTCTCTCTCACTCAGTGTTTCCTCCCCCTCGCGGGCCTTTCTCTGATTCCATTTGAGTTGCTTAACATGCAGCTGCAGGCCGTACAAGCTCACCTGCCTCCCTTCACTTTGAACCCCGGTGCTGGTCGGCCGCCCAAATAACACAATCATCTTCTGCACTAATTAACTCACGCCCACGACAGGCTCTGTAAAGCAGCTGTTCTCACCGCACAGACACAAACACACACGCACACACACACACACACACACACACACACAGATACTGGCATAGTCATATATACACACACATACACTCAGAATTGCTTTGAACAGGCTGCTGGTCCAAAACCATTGTAGATGCTCATATACTCACCCTAAGCAAAATTTTGTTTAGACGACACAGGACAGACAACCTGGCCTACTGACTAAACTTGTGGTCATATGATACAGATTGTTCTATTGCCAGAACATGATTGATATGATTGACATATCAAGATTATATTTCTTACCGATATTTCCTGTTTCACGCGAAAGAGCTTTACAATAAACCTTTTAAATCACATACTGTCCGGCTGACAAGTTGGGTCCTCTCTTTTCCTTTACAGTTCAGCAATTTTGACCTTAAAATTGTTGAAATAATGCAGAAAGCACATTTCTTGAACAGTCAAATAGTCAAATTGATTGGTAGTTTCTTTTCTCATTGTTACCATCTTACTTGTCATGATGACAGGTCAGGCTGTGCCTCCTTTTGTTATATTCTTGTTCCTCTAAAAATAAAATATCAAAAATTGCTCTTCATGCTAGCTTTAGCTAGCTGTTCATTCCAGAACTTATTCTGTTTCGTTTTTTATAGTCATTCTGATCGCAGAGTGCCCCCTGCAGGTAGCTACTTTAATAGCAACTGTCATTACACTTGACTTCAAATCACTGGCTTTGAAATACACTGAAGGGTGGGCCTTCATTTAACTCAACTGTTGGGAATTGACCAACCTCAAGCTTAGAAAACAATTATGTTGTCTTCTGGATTTTCCCAAATGAATATTTTTTTTTGAAATAGATCAACTTTTAAGTTTGTGACAAGAAACTTCTTAAAGTTATCTTTATAATTTTCCTGTACTTTAGCCAATAAACATTGCTTTTTGAATTGCTTTTCTTAACTGAGCTAAAACAGAACTGCAATTGTTCCACCTGATTTTATCAGAGACGGTAAGAAAAAACGATTACATCAAGTGTGTGCCTTTTACATGCACACTCACACGTATACCGCGGCATCCAGCCTGTGCAATCACACATTAAAAGAAGCAAACATTTGGTGCCTGCATGAAATATATGAGCAGCCTTAAATGTGTGTGATGACATAAAAGTGCCATGTGAGGTGACAGAACATACTGAAGAGTACAAGTACAAGGTCATTTTGGAAGTCGAGAGAGTGTCATGACTGATTATATTTGATGCTAAAAGCCATTAACAATTACTGAACAGAACTCTTGCACAAGCCGCATTTGCACTTTAGCAAGTACACTCAGGGCTCTGCATGCTTAAACTTGAGTGCCATGTTCAGATAGATCTGTTGTAAATGACTCACTGTTACTGTAAAACACAAAAAAAACTAAAATGTGATCTAAAATATGTTCTTTCTTACATTTTGTCTTTGTCTTAAAATGGCAGACGTGGCCTTATCCGTCTAATCTACCTCCTTAACGGAATTGTAACGTGGCTTTTCAATTGACAGCGCATTGAAATTTGTATTTTATAAGATCAGAGAAATCCTGCATAACCTTAATACACCTCCTGCACTCATGTCATATTTATCCATTACACATCAGCTCCATAAACTATGTGGTTCACCATGAGTCCATTCCACTGTGATTGCTTTAAACTTTGAAGACTAACATGAAGACTGTTGCTTTTGTGGGATAATTTGAAGCGGTGATTTCTGTTGAATTGACTTCTACGAGTGGTGCTTTCAAATGCTGCATGCTGTCATGTTTGCTGACAAACATGAACATTTATTTTTTTCTCATTGGAAAGGAAATAATAATACCACTTTCACAATATCTGTCTTGTGTATTGTATTCGAATTTCACCATTGTAATGTAATCTAATATTTGTTTTGTTTGTTTTTGATCTAAATTCACATCATTCTTTCTAGTATTTAAGAGGACTCTTGGCTTTGAGCATGTCAAATTTATAATAATGGATAAATACACATGCGTGGTTGATCATTTGTTGTATTTTCCTACGTTTTGGACCTGAAGAGGACTCCATGTGAAGTTCCTCTTCCTAAATCTGGAACAGTCTAAACCTAAGCCTTGCATTGGTTGTATCCTTTTTATCTGGTCTGATTAACTGACAGGCTGAGCGGTGGATTACAACGTGCTGGCATGTGAATCTGTGGAGTGTACCTGTGTTTGGGTGTTTGAATGTTTGTGTGTTGTTTGCGTTTGTAATCTGTCCGTCATTCTGTTGCTGCACTGTGATCAAATGTCCTGACCTCTTTCCCCCGAAAAGCCAGGTGATAGATAATCCAGATAAACCCTGCTATCCAAATACACATGCACAGCTAAAATTATTGTTGCGTCTTGTCCTTTACAAGTATGCAAATCCCTTGAAGTTTTCCCACAATTTATTATTTTATAATGACTGACTGCAGTGTGTTTTGTTTGCATTTTAAGTGATAGACCAACACAGTTTTGTGGCAGGAAAAAATATGATTTGGAAACCTTTTTTTATTAAAGAATTCTGAAAATGCATTTGGACTCAAAGACCACAAATCAGTCCTCTGAAAAATAAAACACCTTACCCTGTAATTACAGCTTGTAGGTTTTGATGTTTATCTCTGCCACATTATTGCAGAATAGCTTAATAGACTCTATGCCAATGTTTGTGAACATACATTTTGAAGTCTTGGCACAGATTCTCAATTGATGATTAGCCTGGACATTGACTGTGCCCTACTAGCACACAAGCATGCTTTCCTAAAAAACAACCTGAAAAATCTGTGTACGTATGTTTAGAGTTGTTTGAATTCTTTCAGGATTACATTGTATTTAGCTCCATTCATATTTCTACAAAACAGTTCAGGTTACCTGATGAAAAAAGCTTTCCCAAAACATTTCCTTTGGCAATGATGTGTTTGTTTGCAGTTAGCAATCCTCCACACTTGCCATTTTGCATGCAGGCTGAATGTTACTCTCACCTGAACCTTATGTTGCTTCTGATTTAATGAGGTTTCATAAGGGTGTCTTTCAACCGGAGCTTTCTCCTTGCCTTTCCTCCATAAAGACATGATTTGTGGCATGTCAAAAACTGGCTGTAAGAGATTCTCTCACCTTAGCTGTGTTTTTCTGCAGCTGCTCTGTTGGTACAATTGACCCTTTGGCTGCTTCACCAATTTATCCTCTCCTTATCATGTCCACATTGGACAGCCAGATTTCACAAATATAAATTAATACTGTCTAAGGAAAAAAACAAAAAAAAAAAAACAACTTCAAATCATCTGACATTTTGACCATGTGCTCCTCTTCTAACCCTGCAAATACATTGCCATTTTAGAAAATCATGAAAACCATAAGGCTGTATGGTGTGACAAATGACACAATTGTAATAAAAAAAGCCCAGTCTGTGCACATGCAACATATTGTGCTGATGGTGCAAACAAAGTCTGCAGAAGTTGTGTTGGCTATAGAGGAGAAACTTTAGGTCACAAATGGGAGCTGAATCATTTAGGATCTAAAACCAGTTTCCATGGTACAACTTTCCTTAGCAAGTCTCTGTGTCTCTATTAAGTGCATGCCTTCACATCACAGCACTCTTTATTATGTTGCATACAAGCTGAGTGGATTGTGGCTTATAGGTGCTAGCAAAGCAGAACAAACAAAGAGTTTGATGTGACAGCCATATTTGCTATTGTGTATCAGAGCTGCTGTGTTGAACTAAGACAACTAAAAAGACTAAGACAGGAACTGAATGTTTCTGTTTCATTAATGGAAATTGATCAAATAGCATATGTTTAAATGTATTTTTGGCGTCTCAAACAGAAATGTTGAAGCTGTTTTTGTCTCTCTAATTTATTATGGCCTTTTCAGGATCATTGTCCAAATTTCTGTGTTTCTTGGTTTAGTTACTAGTAAGTAAATATTTATGCATGGAATTTATCTCTAGTGAAATTCAGGCCAGTGGGAATTCTTGATGCAGAAATTATGTTAATCTGTTTTTGAGAATGTTTGCTGTGGACTTTTGGATAATCACATTGATCCCAGCAAATCTACCTCAGGCTGGCTTAAATAGATGATCCATTCCCTTGACCTCAGAACGTGGAGAAAAGAGTTTTGTTTCTTCAATCAAAAAAAATTGAACAAAAACCCCTTTCTTTCTCTTTTGTTTATTTTAAGTTGTAAGCACAAAATTTTTGCATGAATAGAAGTAAAACAAGCAGTCACATGCCATTGATTCAGCTTATCTATGCTCAACCAGCCGAAATATCATCATTGGATCTAGCTGAGATTGTAAATGTTAATGCTTTTTATCGATGAGGGAAAAATAATGTATGCATGATTAGTGACTGTTTTCTGCTGGATAGGTGTGATTTGTGTTTTTAATGGAAATCTTAAGTTGTTTCCATAGGGGTCAAAACTTACAATCCCTACACAAGCCTAGATCATTGATTCAGCCTGGTTAATAGTATTTTTCTCTCTATATATTGCTCTGCCAGCAAATATGTTAAAGTGTAAAGGTGACTCCTTCACCTCTCCTCAAAGCAATCAAGCTCACAAATTCCACTTCATCGCCTCCTTGTTCAGACTGGAATTCTCTGGACTTCCTCTCCAAGTAACTCACCCATAAAATTCTGTAGAGCCTGGAAGCACAGAACTGGACAATACCCTTTCTGTGTACTACTGTAGTCATGGAAACTAAAAAAAAAAAAAACTTACTGCACATTCATGTAGTCTACATTGCCCTTTTGAGAACGTGGTGTGATCATCTCCACTGTTGCATGAGATTACATTTGAAACGTCTTTAATAGAAACTCATATATGTTGACAGTTTCCTTTCCAATGCTAAATTTTGTGTGTTTTGGGTGATGGTCTTTAATATTTTGCATTCTCTTTTCTTTCAACAAAAGCTTATGTGCTTTTGTTGAAAGAAATCCATTAGAAGTCTTACTTGGAGTTTGTTGTTGTTGGTAGCAGCGCCAACATAAAGGAGGAGGTACACTGGTCATAGGAGACCAGGAGCCTTCTGTGCTGCTTTCATACTGAACGGGAGAAAGTTGAGGGGGGGGAAAGGTTTTCAGGGAAAGAACACACAACCCTTTCAATAAAATTTGTGATAGCAGTATCATGCTTTTGGGATCTGTGGAGACGATGATCAGATGTGAAGATGAATGGGGCTTATACCATTTAAGTAAACCTGTTGGATATTACAAAAGACTTGAGATTTTGGTGGAAGTACAACAGAAATCTACCATGGAAGCATTTAGTACATTCAGTATAAAATATTCAAAGTGTACCAAGGTCTCGACTCAAATTCAATTCACTATGAGGCAAGACTTAAATGTTCACAAGCACTCTTCTAACCAAACTAACTGAGTTTTAGCTATTTTATCTGGTAGAATCAGCAAACGCTTTATTCTTTAGATGGTAGAAATAAACACCCAATAAACGTCCAACTCTAATTGTTGAATATAAAATGCATTACACAATTTTCCGATTTCTAATTTTGCAAACCTCAGTATTAATGTTATGCAGGGTTGGTCTGGCACATAAGGTCTTATTTAAATAGAAATCTTGTAATGGGACAAACTGAAATATTATATGGAAATGTAATGACCTTTTTTTATTCTTTAGGTGTAGTTCAAAGAAAAAGTATTTGTAACAATTAAACCTACTTACCACATTCCATACAGAATATCACATTGCAATTACTCTGCAGAAGTTTATTCCAGTAGTGGCAAGACAGACCAAAAGTGGATTAAAATAAAACATCTTTAATACAAATAGCACAATGAAGGTGTACATGGACTGCAAATCAAACGCCGTCTGTGCCAACGATGCTTTGGAAAAATGACAGGCACAACCATGTTATTATTTTAGAATGTGTTTTGGATGGCATTTAGCAATGGGATGGTAATCATTGGGTAAATGAGTCCATATTGTTCAGGATGTTTCACAGGATAGAAGGAGATAACAGTGTCAGTGTTTAGTCAGTAAATTAAAGGAGCTATGGAAGGGGTGGGGGGCTTAGAGATTTATTCAGGCTTTACTGAGAATGTGGCAGGATTCTTCATGTCTGCTGCCAAAGGGGTCCTTATGGGGTCAGTTGGAAGAAGGATATGATCATGCAATTGGTACAGTGACAGAGAATATTTGAAGGTTTTTTTTTTTTTTTTTGTGTGTGTGCTTCCAGTTGTGGGTCGCGGAGGCAAGGGAAAACTTGTGAAGTAGGGCAACAAGCACAGATGCTCGTCCTGCGTCTGTGTGCAGGATTTTTCGGAGAGAAAGGATGAAACAGGGGTTTACCACTGGGCCAGCAGTGGGGCATCCAGCTAGTCCAGCTAGAGTTCTTAGGGCCGCCTGCCATCTGAACGCCGGCCATGGCCTCTTTTCTGTCAGCGAAGCGCCACAAAGCCAACCGGGTCACGCGATCGAATGAGGTGGCTTATACATACATTTAGAGCAGACAGGATCAACTCATCAGACAGACAAAAAGTAGATAAATGGGTTAAATATGGCACATTAAAAGCTGATGCCATCAGATCAGTTAACACATAAAGGCATAATGTGGCATGTGAGGCCAAATGAGCGGATCACACTTGGTCCAGGTTATATTATGAGGCCATCAGAGACAAGCAACACTACAAGTCAACTCTTAGAGTGGGTACCAAAAAAGAAAAACCACAGGAAACAGAAACCTCTGGAAAGACAGGAAAATAGTCCAGTGACAGACAATAAAAAAAATAAAATAAAAAAAATCACATAATAACTAGATAAAGGAGTATTATTACTGTGCCAGACACATCAGACCAGCAACCCAATAGGGATGCACTTCTTGTTAGTAAATGAATCTCCACCGAAACACATGAACAGAAAGAGATGCAGTTACAGGCTCTCATCACAGCGGAGGAGCTGCCTATTCATCTGCACATAAGAGGACAAAGCGAGCGTGCAGCACTCAGGAAATTGCAGCCACGCAATTTACAATCGTTAGGCAGCGGTGGAGGACACAGTCACATACACACACCCACACTTTCATCAGAACTGTCGTTATACCGCTAACACACACACACACACACACTCGTGTACGTTCACAGTGGAACACACTGGTGCTGGTTGTTTCCTGCCTGGGTCTTTGAACAGTTCAATGAGGAGTCTTTTCAGCAAAGTGAATAGCCCCTCTGATTTCCCCCTCCATGTGTGCGCGCTTGTGTCTCGTGCAAGGCAGCGTGTGCGCCCGACTGTCACGGTTCTGCACACAAGCGTTTGCGGGGGTCCTTCATCTTTTGTGTGGGCCCAGCTGAGGGTGAGAGCTGCTTTACATGTTGTCCGGTCTCACAAGTGATCAGTTTGAACCCAAGCTTGAGGCATTTGGTGATCGGTCACTGCTCTTCAGTTTTGGAGCCGAGGGACGACTGACTCCACCTGAAAGTGTGCAGTCTCAGCTGGTGCAGTGTATTGGCACTGTGACCGCTATTAGTGGTCACCAAGGGACTTAGAAAAAAAGAAAGGCTTGGCTTTCCAGGATGAGGTTTTGTAGGAATTTCTCACTGGATTCCATCTCTTGTCCAGGAAACTTCCGTTATTTCTACTCTTGAAATCATCATCTTTGTCGTTTAGATGTTTCCAAAATAAAATGTTTTCAATTATGCATTCCATTTAGGGAATGCTTTCATCTGAAGAGCCTTACAGTGTCATGAAAGCATACTTTTAGTGCGTGCCCTTTCCCCCAAAGTCAATCATCTAAGCCAGAAAAAGACCACTCACAAATAAAAGGATTTTTGTTGGTCTGTTTGCTTGTTTGTCGAAGAGAAGTAAGTCAGTTCTTACTCCTTATTTAGTCTGTGTGCTTTCTGTTTTCATCCTGGCCATAGAAATACGTCCCCCTCTAGTGTGAGAGATGTGTAATGAATCAGCTCAAAAAATTTGTAGAAAACAACTTTCACAGGATTCTTGTGACTCTTGAAACACCCACTTTTATTTCTGTAACAGTGCTTTGTTTTTCCCCCTTGCAGATTTTTTTCTATTTTTGCTTTTCTGTCACACTTAAGTATTTATAATCAAGTAAAAATTAAAGTTAGACAAGTAGCATGAGCAAATGCAAAAGTAACTCTGTGTGAAAATATAATTATAATCAAATTATCTTTGTCTGATGCTACCTTTGATTGATAATCTAAAACATTTAGATGTGACGAAAAGGCAAAAACGAGAAATCTGAATGGAGGTGAATATTTTTTGATTGCACTGCCCCAAGTCTTTTTTTACTGTACAGAAATCCACAAAATGTTGACAAATTGTTCTTTTTTTTTTCTTTCCCTTTCCACACCCACCAATGTCCAATATGCTTTCCCTTCTTCCATCCACTCCCTGTCTTTGACTTCAACATCTTTTGGCTGTTCCATTCTGTCGCTGTGAATTCCCAACACAGGTGATAATTTACCAGAACGGCCAGGTGTTCACCCTACCCAACCACCTCAAGGGTCGTGTGGGCTTTGTGGCCACCATGCCAAGCACAAGTGCCTCCATCTTCATCAACAACACCCAGTTGTCTGACACTGGGACGTACCAGTGCCTGGTGAACAACTTTCCCGACGGAGGGGGACGTAACATCGGAGTCATTGGGCTCACGGTGTTGGGTAACTAACTTCACATCACCACAGCATGTCTATTTTAAGCGAATTACTGAATGCAAGAACTCTCTCCTATATTTCTGAATAGTGGGTTAAATCTGTTCCACTCATAAAATGATTGCAGAACAGCAGCCATAAGCCATCTTTGTTTATTGAGATTCTTCAGCTTTTTTTAACGACGCAATTTCCTCTGCAATGAGCAGATGAGCAATGAGGGAAAAAAAAAAAAAAAAAACATTATTTTTGCTTTGTTAAGTGGTTAACGCGACACCACCCACTCTTCCCATCTGCTAGTGCCCCCCTCAGTGCCAGCATGTCGAATCCAGGGAACGCTGGATGTAGGCAGCGACATCATGCTGTTCTGCAGTTCAGAGGAAGGCATTCCCACGCCGTCTTACTCCTGGGAGAAGCTTGACGCGCTGCCCAAGCTACCATACAACGCCATGCAAGGTATTACAAACAAGCTGGCCGTCGGAGTTCCCCTTTGCCCCACCTTTGCTGGTAAATCTCACACACGCAGAGGAGCTCTGACCAGAACCCAGACCCTTCATCAGTGCCACCTGTTATCTGTGCCGGGCCCAAACTGCACCTCTGGGGGATGAGTGGATGGATGTTTGGATGAATGAATGGATGTATGGACGGGTTGATTGATTGATTTCCACAAGTGGATTTGTGCTGGAGTTTGTGTGTTTACTTTCTTACTTCATGCTGACTACCATCTCTGCCAACACTTATCTCTAAAAAGTGTTATTTGGGTGGTTTTCAGCATCAGTTAGAACAAGTACAGTGGACTATCCTGTCTTTTCCAAGTTTGTATTCCAGAAAAAGATGCACATGCCTGTACGCTACTGGTTAGCAGAGGTCTTCTGCCCTGGGATTACATCAAACCCAGAGAACAGACTACTGTGACAATAAAGCAATAACAGTAATTTTCTTAGGTCACTCAGATGAAACCATTTTTGAACAAACAAAACAAAACATCACCTATTTTGTTAATATAATGCCTGATGCATTAGAGTTTTTTTCCTTTTCGGTCTATTATACAACAAACAACTGTTTAATTTTATCCTCAAATAGTTTGTGAAACTGGATTGTGTCATGCAGACAGCTGTCAATATTAAGCACAGAGGACCAAGCAGGGCGAGGACACCAACATGCCGAGGACCTTTTTTGCAACAACCGATTTGGTTGCACTTCACAATGTGTGTAAAATACTGAAAAAAAGAAAAAAAAAGAAAATTTGGACCAAATGGAAATATAGGTAGAACTTGGACACAGCTAGGTGTTCAAACAGGACATTCACCCAAGACACACAACAAATTTGATTCTGTAATGTATATATTTTTCTGAATGGCCTCACCCAGCAGAACACAGCAGGAAGCCGACCAAATTAAATGAGCCCTACCATGTTTGACAGTGATCAAATATTCAGCCAGAATGAGGCCAGAACTTGATACCTACAGAAATTATGTTGAAAATGTATGGAAACCTCTGACTGGCACTGAGCTTCAAAGTGTGTTTCCTTTTTGTAGGCTTTTGCTGTTTACATCTCACTCAAAGTAAAATGAGATTCTTCACACTTTGCAGCACTGTGGGGAGACTGTACGTAGTACAAACGTACAAAATGTCATGATGAACATTAGGATGCTAATCCCACACGGTATATAATTCCAGTAGTGTACAGATATGTGACTCTTATCATGCACATCAAACCATTCATCATTTGTCACACAGTACCAGGAGTCTTACTGTTTAGCTGCACGGCATAATTCACATTTTGTATTACCAGGTAAATGGCTCCCTCTATAGGTTGTGAGCAGAACATTCCTGTATTTTGCATGTAAAGTGGTATACTTAATTTGAATGAATCACTATATGTTAACAGAAAAGGGTGTTTTTCTCATTTCTATCACTTTAATAAAATTGCGGCTCTGTGTATGTCCCTTCAGACCAGATGCAGGGCACCGTCACCTTGAGAAATATCAGCACAAGCACCTCAGGGTTTTACCAGTGCACTTCCAGCAATGCCATTGGCAAGAGCACATGTGTGCTAAATCTGGAGGTTGTGGCACGTAAGTAAACTGCATATAGCCTCAAACAGAAGCTATTGCTATTGTGAAAAGAGTAAGCATTTTAAAATACGACAAAATTTCTAATAATGTTGAGTTTGGCAACTAACTTGGTTTTGTTTGCAGTTCATTATTGTTATCCTTTATTTATATACGTATACAGAATGCTCTTTTTAAAGCACGGTTATACTTTTATATAAGGAATCTAATGTATTCAGTAAGTAAACTCATATTTTCACGAGTTGACGCGATTTGTCAGATAGGGCAGCAATGACAATTGGGAATAAAGTCACATATCACTTTGAGCGACACATGTCGGATCAGACGAAAACAGATTTGCATTGCAAGCAAAAAAGAGGCAGCAGACAGAACATCTTGCACACATCAGCACTCGACACTTTTGACACCAACAGATAAAAAAACAAAGGCTGCTGTAGGTCACAGGGAACGAGTTCTATAGGATCTGTCAGTCTTTCTGTCTTTCTTTTTTCTGGCTGCTTTGTCACATTTCTTTGACCTTAGTAGTTTTTTATTAACTTTTAACAGAGGATTTTGTATGGTTACTGAAAACAAATGTCACTGCTTTATTTGCCAATCAGTCGCTCCCTGGACAAGGTAAAGAACCACACAATAAGAAACTAAACACATTTTCTTGATGAGTGCAGTCAGTTTGCACTTGCTAACACCAATCCACATTTTTTCACATTGCAATTACACATGTCAATATATTTTATTAGGATTTTATGTCAGACCATCACAAAGCAGCACATAAATAAACTGTTCAGTGGAGGACTAATGGCGCTAAGAAAAAAAAAAAAAAAAGCCATGTACGTGGCAGCTCATATGTGGATGCTTTGGTCAAATTCATTTTAATGTGTCAGAAAACGTCCTGTGGTGATTATCTACAAGCCGACTTACAGACTCCACCTTGCTGCTTTTCATGTTTTGATAGCACAACTAGAATAAAGGAGATGTCTATTATATTATAATAATAGAGCTAAAAACAGAGCCGTAGTGGAAGAAAAAGACCTTAGATTGTAGTGGAGGTTTACCTTGCAGCTGGACAGCCAGCGCTACATTTGGTTTAGATCAAAGCATATTCATGTGATCGAATGGCTCGGCCGAAATCCAAACCTAAACTCTTTTGGGACTGTTTGGTGCGATATGAAAAGCTACTTTCCAAAGAAATGGAGGAAATATTAGTGTAAAGTCCTGTGTTTATGGAAGCTGTATCATAAGTTGTTTTTAACAAAGTACAGATTAGATGGGGCTGAATACCATCTATATGTGTATAATAGCACACTTATTGTAATTTTAGAACATTTAATTTTGAGTCAAAACACTAATATGTTTAGTATTGGTCTACCCTTATACTTCAGAGTCTCTCCTCCTGTCTGTCTCTTTACCCTGCAGCCCAGCCGCAGAGTGTAGGTCTGATTGCAGGAACCATCGCTACAGGAATCCTTGCTGTCATCATCTGTTCACTGCTAGTTGTGGTCACACTGTTTTACTGGAAGAACAAGAACAGATATGAGGAAGAGGAGATTCCTAATGAGATCAGGTTTGGTTCAGATTTCATTCACTACTATTTGCATTTATATGGTTTAATGTAGATTTAGGAAAAATGTAATGCGATTATTGGAAGAACTTGTTTATGTCTTCCTTGTAGAGATAGAATAACTTGTTTTAATCTTTGCATTTTTGCAAAAACAAAGGTATTTTTAAAGTCAAAATTTTTGTTTTGTTCTTGACATTTTTTTTTTCCAAGTGTCTGTTTTAGTCATACAGGTTTTGTTTCAGACAAATGCATCCTTAGCCTTACCTTAAAAAAAAAAAAAAAAAAAAAAAGAGAAATTGTGGATGTCATGCTCTTGCAGATGAGCATACTCTGTGTTCACACAGACATCACAAAGCCTTTTCTCAGTAAACCCAAGCCAGTAAATTGGATTTCAGGTTCGGGGCGCTCACCTTTTATTGAATCTCCTAGCAGCAACTTATTTCATCATTACAGGCTAATTTGTCTTTTCAGGCCGTCCGTAAATCTCTGTCAGTTGTTTACCCGGGGCTGCAGTTTCCGACTGTAATTATTCCTAGAATAATTTGGAAGATAATTCAGATTTCAGGAGTTTTGTCTGTCTCTGAACACATCTGCCTCATTCTGAGCTCAGCTAGACTCAGGTTCCGACCCTGCAGCTCCTCAGTAGAATAAATGAACATATTTAATCCTAAATGTGGCCTGAATTTAGGTAAATGAAAGAAATAGTCAAGAGCCAGTATTGTCTTTTAAAGTTAATCTTTATTGGTGTTTTGACATTTTTACGTTTGTATTTTATTGCTTAAGCTGCATGTTGAAACATAATAAAACATAATAAACTCAATAGATTCCAGAAACCTCTAATTTTATATATATATATATATATATATATATATGTATATATATATATATATATATATTTTATATAGTTATTAGAGTCTAATAACTATAAAAAAAGTACATAACTTACTAAATGTCATCCCTTGTAATTAATTGCCTTCAGGACAATATGTGGAGTTTAACTGTGCATGATTCAATCTCAGTATAAATGCAGCTGTTCTGTAACGGCCTCAGAGAACATTAGTGAACCAGCATCACTAACTGGTCTGACTGGTCAGGAGTAAAGTTGTGGAAAAGATTCTGTGGCAAAACTTAAAATGTTCTGTTCAAACATTCTCCTCCCAGTCGGACTGAGCTTGAGTTCTTTTGTAATGAAGAATGAGCAAAAGATGAACTCCCTCGATCTGCAAAACTACCAATAAAGGTTTTTAACATTTTATTTCAGAGAAAGGTCAAATTGTTAACTAGAGGTTGAATACCAACATCCACAATTCGTCTGTAACATAAACATAAAACAATTTATTTTTGTAAAATTACTGAATGTGAAAAGTAATATTTTTAGGATTACTAAAGCATTTATTAAATTGGATTTTCTGTTACTGTCTTGGAGAAATGCAACTAGTTTTAAGGAGTTTGGTTCAGTTTCTCTTGTTTTTTTTAAATGGGACAATACACATCAACTAAATAAAGTTCTCTGTTAAATACATAGATTTTTTTAATTTTTTTATTCATAAATGTAGATGGTATCCCAACTTGACTGGGCATGCTTACATGCTTCCTCTCAACAGAGAAGATGACTTACCTCCTAAGCGGTCATCGTCAGTAAAGGCTTTCCATGCAGATGCCTCTTCCTCAGAGAACGACACACTGACTTCTACAAACACGTACAACAGTCGCTACTGGCACAACCCTAAAACCAACTACGACACCAACTCCTACACGCGCTACAACGGAGACACTCGTCAGACCTTTACAGCTGCTCCGACTGCGACTGCACATGGACCTCACGGAGCCCACAGTCACGGACAACCTCAAAACGCTACACAGGTCCGTGAAACAGCGGTCACAGCTCCAGGCTCCACCCCTCTGTCCCGCCACCCACCGCCCACCACGGCAACAACCACAACGACATGTTTTGCCAATGGCGGCCACATGCTCTCGCCACCCAAGACTCTGGTAGTCACAACAAACTCTGCCCCATCCCCACCCGCCATGGTGCGCAGCAACGGCACCGTGAGCCTCAAACCAGCGGTGACATCCGCACACGGGCACCACACGCACTCTTATGCTGTTAGCCAGGCGACGCTGGAGCGGATGGGGGCAGTGCCGGTCATGGTGCCCGCCCAAAGCAGAGCAGGTTCACTTGTTTGAAAACCTGATTTGTGACTCTGCTAACGAGACTAAAAGAGTGTTTGGTTGGAATAGTTGAGATGTGATAAGAAAAACTGACTGAATATGGGCTGAAGCAGTCCACAACCCTTTACAGTTGTGTCTTTCAGTAAAGACTTTTTTTTAACCACAAACTAAAATAAAATAAAATAAAATAAAATTAAAAAAAAAAAGCTTGGGTTTTACAGTGCAGAGTTTAATTGATGCCAATTATTTGATGGACATAATGCTATTTTTTCAGTTCCTTTTTGTTTGTGCTATTTTTATGGATTTTCTGCTGGTGAAAACAGTGGGATTGATTCCCCCCCACAAACCCCTGGATGATTTCACAAGGCTGGAGTTCAAAATCCTGAAAATCACAGAATTCTGGATCTTCTTCAGGGCTGGATTATTGTTATGATTGTGTATTTTGTTTTGTTTTGGGTTTTGTTATTGACCCAAACCATTTTGACATTTTTTTGTTTTTGTTTTTAGTGTGTCAGTTTGCATGGTCAAGCAGAAGTAAGCTTTGAATCCCACAGTATAATGCATGTGTCCTTTAAGTTAATCAGCTTTATTTCCCATTATTTCTTCACTCTTTTAAGTTTTGATTAACATCACCGATAAAAGTGGCAACAAAAGTGAATGTTGAAAGAAATTATTTAGAGTTCCCAAAAGCATAAAAAAGTGTAAAGAATGAAATGATAGTTGAAATGGCCTTAGGAGCTTGGAGTGGAATGGTCAGGGGTATTTGGTGCAATAAACTACATAGTGTATGTCAGTGAATGCAAACGTAACTATTTTAACGCACTTTTAGAACAAAATAATATCAAGAGCTTTGTCTTATGGAAACAGTTTTATTCATTATATGCTTTATAATCAAAAATGCACCCAATCCTCTCTTTCAAACTCTAACTATGATTTCAAGTTGATTAACATGCTGGGTTACCAAACAAAAAAGAGACACCAGCTCCTGATCTAAACTCTGACTTGCTGCTCAACATAGTGCTTGCTGTCACCATTCTTAGCTGTAGTGTCTCTGACTCACACCATGTCAGTGCTGCTTTAAGATGGAAAAAAGATGTCTTATTTCATACATGCTTCATAACGAAGCCAGAGAATTTTATACAGTATTTTTGTTCTCAACTAAAGCTCACGTTTAATGTTTTTTAACTGTACATATTAAAACAGTAGGCTAGATTGTGAATGAAAAAAAACATTTTGTCTCCACATACACGTTACATCTTACTTGTCCTAATGTTCAAACTGTTCTGTTTTTTCTTTTTTGTTTGTTTTTTTTTTTTTAACTTCAAGTGCAGGCTACCTTTGATTCTGCCTCATAGTGTTATTTCATACAAATGTCTATCTAATAAAATGTGTTTCTACATGAGTGGGCAAATGTAGAATGTATAAACAACGGACACCTTCGGCTGTGTGTGGTAGAGTCGTGTTGCTGACCTTCTGTAATTGTATTTGATCAAATCTCGCGGGCAGAGTGAGAAGCTGCAGTGTTTCCAGGCCTTTCCAAATCTGATAGTTCTCATTTCTTTTTCTGCACATAATTTACCCTGGCCGTGAACCGTATTTTGCAAAGTAAACAGCTTCATAACTTATTATATTTATTTTGAATTTCAATATTACCTTAAACTTAATACAGTAACTGTATTTCATTTAAAAATATTACTCCTCTTTAAATGAGTAATGAACAAATATTCTGAATGGCTATTTGCCATTTAAAACTAAAGATACCATTTTAATTCTACCAAATAGTTAAATTATTTTTCTCTTTGATTTCTTTGACTGGCTCAAGTTTGAACTTAGTGGGTGTGTGCTTTATATACATTTGCTGTTTGCAGTTGATCTGCAACTTGCATTGTTCTAATTTCCCCTCCACACATTTTGGCTGTTTGTAATGATGAAATGACTTGTAACTAAACTTTTCTCTACAGAGTTAAGAGCAGTCAGTTACATGGAGCTTATGCTGAAAGCCAGACTGAACCAAACACAAGCTTTCGCTCAGGTTTGATTATAGAAACACAACTGTTCAATCTCGTAAAACCCACATTTTCTTGTTTATCCTCTATTCTTCTCAGTTCATTGTCATGTGAGGAAGAACTACATAATTTGCATCTACTACTATATATATGTGTGCGTGTGTGCGTGAGTGTGTGTGTGTGTGTGTGTGTGTGTGCACCTCAATAAATAAGAACATCATCAAAGATGTATTTTGTAAATTCAATTAAATAACTGCAAGTCATCCACGTCGCATCATTCAGTTATTCTTCTAGTTTTGATTAAAGTGGCTTACAGATGGTAAAATATCAAATTCTATTCCAAGAAAGTTAAAATATTACATAGAACTACAACATTTTTTATTTTTCTCAGAAAAGTTGTTATGGCCTATATGATGATATGAAAGAGTTCTTTTTTTTTAGGCTCTAGTGGCCTTTATTTGATAGTTCATTGACAGGAAAGTGGGCAATGAGAGAAAGAGGAAGACGTGCAGCAAAGGTCACCAAGGCCAGGAATCAAACCTGTGACAGCTGCATTTAGGACTAAGGCCTCCATATGTGGGTTGTGCTTAACCCCTGTGCCACCACAGGACACTGATAGGAAAGAGTTGACAGTAAATAAACGAGCACAGTAAATATTGCTGTATCCAAGCACAGAAATGGAAAGAAATGGAAAAATTGTTGTAGAAGAAATTGTTAAAGTTACATGGATGACCAGTGCCTTAAGGATATTGTGGAACAAACCCAAATTAAGAGTTCAGGGGAGATTCAAAAAACCTGGACTGGACCTGTATTCAGTGTTTTAAAAGCCACCGCACACAACACACAAATGTATCCAGGACAAGAAATACATTTCATTTGGAAAATCAAGTATGTTGGATGAGCAATCAGGCTCCGAAGTTGCTTGGCAGTCAGTGATCTAGGGGGCTGTGTCTTCTGCTGGTATAGTTTCCGTCTGTTTTATAAAATTCAACAGCAACGCTGCCATCTACCAGGAAACTTTTGGGGCCTCAAGCTTCCCTCTGCTGACAATCTGTATTAAGAAGCTGATTAATTTTACTCACTGCTAAAATTACTAGTACCGACTTTAATGATTATCACTTTGCAAATTCTAACCTGACCCTTTCAGAGAATCTATGGAGTATTGTAAAGAGGAACGATGAGAAATGCCAGAATCCGACAATGCAGATGAGGTAAAGGCCCCTAATAAAGCAGGCTGGGCTTCCTGAATAGCCTCATTCTGATTGTCTCCACACCACACTTCACCAATGCAGTTATCATCCAAAATGAGTCCAGACAGATGTTGGAACCTTACATGTACTGTTTTTAAATGAATCTTATTTTATGTGCAAATTTTAAGAGAAACTAATTTTAAGATTTTTATTAGCTTTAAGCCAAATCATTACATTGAATAGAAATAACCACTTAATATCTCTCACTCCATGTGCACTGTATGTTTCACTTTGTGGATTTGAATTGCTACAATTCATTTACATTTTTGTGATTTTCCCATTTATTGAGATGCACCTGTAAGTATCTTAAATCTCAAGATGATCTGCTTTTTTTTTTCCTGACAATTTAGCCATATATACCACGTGTTCTGATTTCTGTTGTTTTTTTTTGTGTTTTTTTCCATTTCCCACACTGTTCCTGCTCTGATCTCCCAGAGCTTACAAGCAGCTCCTCTTCTATGGGTCTTTGGCTTTATATGTCTCTGAAAGTATGCCAGGGTAGAAAGGTTAAATTGAGCTTATACTATTTGTACTCCACACTTATTTTGTAGAATATGTGTGAGAATCCACTGAGTCTTTATCCCAGATTTATTGAGCATGTCATCTTATGCCTCGGCCATAAAGATGGACTATCATGTAGAAGGTGGTGTATGGCTTGTGTATACAGATAAGTGTGACATGTTGCCAACAGTAAAATCAGTTTAAATATGTAAATATGTAAAGATGTGAAAAGCAAAAAAACAAACACATTATGTTCTAACAATGGGGACAAGATTACATAGGGGAAAAAACAAAAACACTGGACTAGTAAATAAATATTGGTTAATACATTTTATCTGTCACTCGTTTGTTTACATTTTTGTGACTGTCTGATACACGTTTGTAATTTGCAAAAGTATTTATTCTCCTTGGACTTTTTCACACTTTGTGATTTACATTCAGTATATTTTATTGAGGCTTTATGAAGTAAAAAAAAAAAGAGGTGTGAACATTTTGAAAGCAGATGAGAGATACATATATAGTTTTTAGATTTATTACCAATTAAAGACTCTAAAAAGTGTCAGTTTTGTGTCACACATTTTGTGTGTAGGCCAACTAGTTCAATTTTTCTCGCCACATCTGCTCAGATCGGATCTTCAACAGTTTTTGTAGTTCATCAATTGTAGCAAACTAAAAACAGGACTTCTTCTGAAACAGCTCGAGGAGTGTGAATATTTATGCAGCCTTATTTATGAAAGAATAAAATTAAACTGAAACGGTGTTCTGCACTTTAAAGACAACTGAGATACAGAAACTGCATGAAATATCAAGTGCTTTATGTATAGTAGATAGGGTAAACTGTATTTTTCTGTGGTGTTTTAAACATTATTCAGACTCATTAATGGAGCCTCTGCTGCTACTGCGGGCCAGTGAAGATAACCATGTAGAGAGCAACCTATGCAGAATAACTGCATAGAAAGCATAAAAGTATTGTTGTTTCTTCAAACTCTTCTGATTTTCATTTCCAAAGATGAATTGTGTGATGTTGCAAAAGTGACATGCACGCTAAGTAAAAAAAAAAGAAAAAAAAAAAAAGAAAAATCAGAGTTCTACGGTAGCATTGCAAGATGCTGCATAAGGATTTATTTGCATTTGTGATGCTTTTCTGTACATTGTGTATTGTGCCGACTAATACATATTTACCATTTTTTCTATGAGCTCAGCACTTGTGTGTAGCATGAAAAAGTCATTCAGAGCAAAATCTTAAGTGCTGTTGGTGCCCAGTCGACCATTTGGGGGCAGTGTTTAAACACATGTTCAGCTTCAGCTGCCTGAAAGGAAATATCTAGTTTAGCCACACATTTTTAGCACAATAATTCTGGACAAAAAAAAAAATAAAAAAAAAAAATGTAGCCAATCATTTAAATAGTCAAATTGTGTCAACTGATAATGCATTCAGTGTGAATGACCCTTTTGGAGTCTAGCTAAATGAGAAAGAAATAACTTTTAGCTGCCTGAGAACTTGTTCGAATGCAGTTCCTATCATCGCGTGTGAATGTCATTAATCTTCAGGGTCTATTGCTTAATCCTAAATTACAATCAACATTTCCTTGCTCATTGTCTAACTTATTTAAGCTTTTGAAAGAACAGCTTGGACCTCTGGAATGACAATCAAACAAGAGCAACGATTTAGTGTTTTCCTACAGGGAACATCACCCAGGTGAGTAGTAATGGGTTTCTACTGAGTGTTTGCATTTACTTACACAACACAAAGCTTTGGGTAGATCCAACAATTAATACACATGCTTTTAATCATCAAAGATGTTCTGAAGCAAGTTTTAGGTTGACACGTAAGATCTTATCTTCACAATATTGGCAAATGGGGCTTTTCTGTTGGGTCTGGAGCTTTAGATCATTTGGATGATGTGATCTCAATCATTGTATTTACTCACATAAAAAAATCAAAACGGTGTTTGATTTCAGTTGACATTAGGTGCAATTTATCGATGTAACTGGTTTGGAAGAGAATACATTTAAACTCTTAAACTCCTTTGAACTTCAATTTGCATACATCTCATCCTCGCAAAGAAAATAGCAGAAGGCAACAATATCTCATTGGAAAAATGGTGATAAAAAATTAATTTGCTTAATCCTGACTGCACAAATAATGATTGAAACAGATTTAATAGATTATTTCTAACGTAATTAATGAGGTGATTCATCTGAACATAGTTTGCAAGATGAAGCATTTGTTCTTTGTGCTGCAAGGTCAGAGAAATTGATCTTTATGTTTGTCAGTCAAATCCACACTAATCACTTTTCGGTACATGCCCTACACAATAAGACAACATTGTCCTCTGGCCAACAAAACAATTTTGAAATATACATTTGAATTAATTTTTATGTCTTAGAGCAATAAGAACACATTGTTTGTTTTCCAACCAAAGGCCCTTGGAACCTAATTAATGGAGTAAATAAAATTTTAGATGTTTCATGACCACACAACAGAAGCAAACACATGCATAATTTGTTTTAGCTGAAAAAAAGATAAATATATTACTTTTGTTATTTCTGAATTTTTATTTTTCTTATTTGAATTTTCTTTAATTAATTTATTTACTGTGAATAGTAAGCACTTTAAGTAAAATAATAATGAACAACATTGATATTTTCTTTGGATACAACGAAACAAGTTATATAGTTAAAAGCAAATGTTGAGGGGAAGAAAAAAAATAACGTACAAAAATATAAAATACATAAGAAAATAAAGCAGTGCTTTGTTCCTGGCCACATTATTGCCCTTTGGTCTCATTGCAGAAGTTCAATAGATGTCATTAACCTTCTGAATCTAAGGTCACAGGAGTCTAAGAGAGGATCAGTGGGTAATAG